GGCGCTACAGTCATAGACTCTGAAAAGTGTTCGTTTATTCCGGTTTATTCTCTCTGATTCCGTGAAATCGGTGCCTTTTGCGTCCCCAACAAATAGGTCACCGTGATTTTGCCAAGTAAGATGTGATCCTGGATCAACAAATTTTGTTGATCCTGGATCAACATTTAATCAACCAATCACAAGCCTCTGATGTCATCAGTGTGTGCCGACTAAATGCAATCAGTCCATTTTGAATTTTCCCTCCTCTCTTACCTCGGCTGACTGACAAAAGGTAAGTTATTTTGTCTGTCCTCTTTCTTTGACCCTCTCTGTAACTAAAAATCTGACTTTGTAAATGTATTTATTCACTAAAAAATACTGAAATAGAACACTTAAATGGCCTAATGTAATGCAACTCTGAACATACATACAACAGCCATGTGCCGTTTAGCTAATAGCTAAGCTTACTTTACTCCATAACCTCTAAAAGTCTTCTTTCTCTCATACACAAATACACATTTAATATTTAGTAAAATTTTATAACAATGTCAATAAATTCCAGGTCTAAAAAACAGACTACTGTGATTTTAGTCAGAATAAAGTGTGCACAAAGTATATGACATAAAAAAAACAGTAGAATAATTGCTTTTTGAATATGATTGTAATCAAAATTTTGATAATTGCTATGCCATCATTTCAATACGGGGTAAATTCGCTAATGTTGATCCAGGACCATCATGGTCACTTCAATACGGGGTAGATTCGCTAATGTTGATCCAGGACCATCATGATCATTTCAATACGGGGTAGATTCGCTAATGGTGATCCAGGACCATCATGGTCACTTCAATACGGGGTAAATTCGCTAACGTTGATCCAGGACCATCATGATCACTTCAATACGGGGTAGATTCGCTAATGTTGATCCAGGACCATCATGGTCACTTCAATACGGGGTAGATTCGCTAATGTTGATCCAGGACCATCATGATCATTTCAATACGGGGTAGATTCGCTAATGGTGATCCAGGACCATCATGGTCACTTCAATACGGGGTAGATTCGCTAATGTTGATCCAGGACCATCATGATCATTTCAATACGGGGTAGATTCGCTTATGTTGATCAAGGACCATCATGATAATTTCAATACAGGGTAGATTCGCTAATGTTGATCCAGGACCATCATGATCATTTCAATACGGGGTAGATTCGCTAATGTTGATCCAGGACCATCATGATCATTTCAATACGGGGTAGATTCGCTAATGTTGATCCAGGTCCATCATGATCATTTCAAAAGGGGGTAGATTCGCTAATGTTGATCCTAGACCATCATGATTATTTCAATACGGGGTAGATTCGCTAATGTTGATCCAGGACCATCATGATCATTTCAATACGGGGTAGATTCGCTTATGTTGATCAAGGACCATCATGATCATTTCAATACGGGGTAGATTCGCTAATGTTGATCCAGGACCATCATGATCAGTTCAATATGGGGTAGATTCGCTAATGTTGATCCAGGACCATCATGAACATTTCAATACGGGGTAGATTCGCTAATGTTGATCCAGGACCATCATGATCACTTTAATACGGGGTAGATTCGCTAATGTTGATCCCGGACCATCATGGTCACTTCAATACGAGGTAGATTCGATAATGTTGATCCTGGACCATCATGATCAGTTCAATACGGGGTAGATTCGCTAATGTTGATCCAGGACCATCATGATCACTTCAATACGGGGTAGATTTGATAATGTTGATCCCGGACCATCATGGTCACTTCAATACGGGGTAGATTCGCTAATGTTGATCCAGGACCATCATAGTCAGTTCAATACGGGGTAGATTCGCTAATGTTATCCAGGACCATCATAATCAGTTCAATACGGGACAGATTCGCTAATGTTGATCCAGGACCATAATGATCATTTCAATGTGAGGTAGATTCGCTAATGTTGATCCAGGACCATCATGATCATTTCAATACGGGGTAGATTTGCTAATGTTGATCCAGGACCATCATGATCACTTCAATACTGGATAGATTCGCTAATGTTGATCCAGGACCATCATGATCAGTTCAATACGGGGTAGATTCGCTAATGTTGATCCAGGACCATCATGATCACTTCAATATGGGGTAGATTCCCTAATGTTGATCCAGGACCATCATAGTCAGGTCAATACGGGGTAGATTCGCTAATGTTGATCCTGGACCATCATGATCAGTTCAATATGGGGTAGATTCGCTAATGTTGATCCAGGACCATCATGATCATTTCAATACGGGGTAGATTTGCTAATGTTGATCCAGGACCATCATGATCACTTCAATACTGGATAGATTCGCTAATGTTGATCCAGGACCATCATGATTATTTCAATACGGGGTAGATTCGCTAATGTTGATCCAGGACCATCATGATCACTTCAATATGGGGTAGATTCCCTAATGTTGATCCAGGACCATCATAGTCAGGTCAATACGGGGTAGATTCGCTAATGTTGATCCTGGACCATCATGATCAGTTCAATATGGGGTAGATTCGCTAATGTTGATCCAGGACCATCATGATCATTTCAATACGGGGTAGATTCGCCAGTGTTGATCCAGGACCATCATAGTCACTTCAATACGGGGTAGATTTGCTAATGTTGATCCAGGACCATCATGATCATTTCAATACGGGGTAGATTCGCTTATGTTGATCCAGGACCATCATGATTATTTCAATGTGGGGTAGATTCGCTAATGTTGATCCAGGACCATCATGATCATTTCAATACGGGGTAGATTCCCTAATGTTGATCCAGAACCATCATAGTCAGGTCAATACGGGGTAGATTCGCTAATGTTGATCCAGGACCATCATGGTCAGTTCAATATGGGGTAGATTCCCTAATGTTGATCCAGGACCATCATAGTCAGGTCAATACGGGGTAGATTCGCTAATGTTGATCCTGGACCATCATGGTCAGTTCAATATGGGGTAGATTCGCTAATGTTGATCCAGGACCATCATGGTCACTTCAATACGGGGTAGATTCGCTAATGTTGATCCAGGACCATCATGGTCAGTTCAATATGGGGTAGATTCTCTAATGTTGATCCACCAGGACCATCATGATCATTTCAATACGGGGTAGATTCGCTAATGTTGATCCAGGACCATCATAGTCAGTTCAATATGGGGTAGATTCGCTAATGTTGATCCAGGACCATCATGATCACTTCAATACGAGGTCGATTCGCTAATGTTGATCCAGGACCATCATGATCATTTCAACACGGGGTAGATTCCCTAATGTTGATCCAGGACCATCATAGTCAGGTCAATACGGGGTAGATTCGCTAATGTTGATCCAGGACCATCATGGTCAGTTCAATACGGGGTAGATTCGCTAATGTTGATCCAGGACCATCATGGTCAGTTCAATACGGGGTAGATTCGCTAATGTTGATCCAGGACCATCATGATCATTTCATTACGGGGTAGATTCGCTAATGTTGATCCAGGACCATCATGATCAATTCAATACGGGGTAGATTCGCTAATGTTGATCCAGGACCATCATGGTCAGTTCAATACGGGGTAGATTCGCTAATGTTGATCCAGGACCATCATGGTCAGTTCAATACGGGGTAGATTCGCTTATGTTGATCCAGAACCATCATGATTATTTCAATACGGGGTAGATTCGCTAATGTTGATCCAGGACCATCATAGTCAGTTCAATACGAGGTAGATTCGCTAATGTGGATCCAGGACCATCATGATCACTTCAATATGAGGTAGATTCGCTAATGGTGATCCAGGACCATCATGATCACTTCAATATGAGGTAGATTTGCTAATGTTGATCCAGGACCATCATAGTCAGTTCAATATGGGGTAGATTCGCTAATGTTGATCCAGGACCATCATGGTCACTTTAATATTGGGGTAGATTCCCTAATGGTGATCCAGGAACATCAAGGTCAGTTCAATATGGGGTAGATTCACTAATGTAATCCAGGACCATTCATGATTTCCATAAATTAGCATGATAAGCAAATTCTCCAACATACCATTTCTACTGTAAATAGGCAAATCATAAGTTAATTGAAATCTTTGCGTTTTATTATTTATTACAGTGATGGATTAAATCTAAATCTAATATTTTGTGTTGTAGGAAGCGCTACTGTAATTGTAACTGTAAATCGTAATACTTAGTTCAAGGATAAATAACTTAGTTATGCTGCACCCTGCAATGAAGTCACTTTTTACAGTGTCTGGTAATTTTTTAGGATACTTTTGCCTTCATTTATATAATTAATTAGCTTAACCCGTGTTTCTATATAATTTACCGACATTGTTGACAGATGATCGTCAATAAAATTATGATTGTTATGATAATTCATTTTGGATTTTCCCTTCAAAAAAGGGGAAAAAAATCATAAAAATCAGTCTACAGGCTTACACAGACAACCTAGGAAGTCAGGGAAGGTCTCGTTTTTAAAGCTTCATAATAAACATTGGCAATAAAAAAGTGATAAATATGTGAAAATTCTTACATATAGCCTCTTTAAATTGTTAACAGAAAAACTTCCTAATGGACTGTGACATTCTTGTTTTCCAGCTTTTAACGTATGATTCATCATGACTGGTAAGGGTGCACATTCTGTATCACATATACATACTTACCCTTTTTAAATTGTGCAGGTGACTTTTATATACATACCCTTTATACAGATCAACCTTGGGAGTCCTTAGTGGGCTGTGTTGGGCCAAATAGCCTTTCAGCTGCCCATTTAAAAGCACTGTATGAGCCAGGCTACATACCAGATGTGGTGAGCTATTAGTGTATTTATTAATTGCAGGTGTATTTTAGAATTTGATGATTTTTTCAGGTTCTAACTACAGTTATTATCAATAGGTAATGGATGCTCTCATGAGTATCACCTGCAAGATATGAAATATATAATGTATGTCTGTATGTATGTATGTATGTATGTATATATGTATGTATTTATCTGCTTTTCCTTTTCCCCCTAAGAAATTCAAGGATGTGTACAATATTTGTACACAATCCATGACTAAGATTCTGTCTGGATCGCAGAGGGTTAAAAGCCACTACTTCTGCAAGGTGCAGTAAATAATATTTACATACCCAAGAATATATGATCTAACATAAAAAATGCATTCAAAGACTTTTGCCCATCTAAATATTAAAGCTGCAGATTCTAATGTTATTCTAGCATGGAATAGCAACTGATAGTTAAAAAAAAAAATTGAGCCAAGGTGGAATCTTCCAGGGCTTGTGCATGGCATAAATAAGTATGTAAAACTTAACAAATTCCGCAATTATTCTTTACTTGGAAGACATGTTAGGGTTCTTTGGAGATTTAATGTCCCAGGAAGTCTTCTTGATCAATTACCAAAGAAGCATGACACAACTGTTCAGGAAAATAAGATTTTCTTATCTTATAAGTGATAAAATGTTGTGTTGCAAAAATAAGTACACCCTCCTGAAAGTTACTCCTAAAAAATAAATAAAAAATTCTGGTGTCAATTAAAGGCAATTTCTGATCAACAGGTAAGTATGTTGAACCAAAACATTTAAAGATAAGTAATTTCTTGACAATTAAAAGTGTTATATAGCCCACTGAATCATTCTCAGACTTACAGTAATTCTGACAACAATGGTACCACTTGGGAGAGAACTGTCAGGAGACTTATTTTTTTTAGCACAAAAGTGGACAGTGTTTTAAGTGTGAAAATATAGCAAAATGAACAGAACTAAATAAAATAATGGGCTGGTGACAGGGACCCTGAAATAATCAGGCCTTCATTTTAAGCTTTAATTTAGTAATGAGTGATTTTTGCTTGACAAACAGCAGGAGAAATACAAAGCAAGTGTTTCAGAGCCAGCAAAAGCTACATCTTTTGTATTTGTTCAGATTTACTAATTTATGCTGTGCACTGCAGATGCAGTGCTTACCTAGTACTGAGGCACTGTGAATGTACATGACATACAGTCTGAATTTAGCAAGGTTCACCCTGATGTGGAGTGCAAAATAGAAATATGGAAACATTATCGAAATTAAACATTACGGGCAAAAGTATTTTGTCTTTGACCATTTTCCATTTATTTTTTAATATTACTATTTTATAATTAGGATTATGTAATTGTTTGCATCAGAATCATCATACAAATGGTTTGCATACTAAATTGTCACTGCATTTTCGGCTGCAAAAGGAGAATGTTCTAACTTTGAAAAAGTTACAACATACAGCCTTATATTATTTTAAAGGGGCTATACGTAAGAATTTTCATGTATAAATCATTTTGTTTATTTTATTTTTATTGTGAACTGAGGCACTGTAGTGAAACTTTAAAAAAAGAGACCTTTCCCAACTTCATAGGTTGTCTATGAAAATCTCTATTCTGATTTTAACGACTCAGGGCGGTTTTGCCGGAAAAATCCAAAGGAACCTATCTTAACAGTGTAATTTTAATGAACGTCATCTGTCGACATGATGTCGGCTACTGTTTTGGCCAAGTCTTGCTCGAATAACTATGGATTGCGAGCACGACCGCAAGCACAAGCAATAAGTTGCTGGCTGGAGTTCACTTCATGGCCACAGGTGTCGCTAATAACAAGAGTTTTTTCAATTTTCCTAGAGCCCCTTTAAAAGAAGAACACATGATGTTCCACATAAAACTTCTTTTGATTCAATTAATAATTATATCTTTCCAGAAAGACCTATTTAAAACCTACACTAAAGTTATTGGTGCCCTCCTGGAAAATGAAAATCACTGGACCCTTTTTGTAAGTAGGCCAAATCATAACGTTCTGAATACGCCAGGCTTGGTTCAGTAGGAAACCATACCAGACTAAATGCAATAGAACGTTCTTGTTCGCGCGACGTCGACTGAATGGGGATCATGCTAGGGAGCCAATCGTCTTCGAGTATCTTTAGAACGAGCCAATGCACGGGTCCAAGATGGTCACGACCCACCACATACTAGGTACCATGAAGAACGAGTTTACAAAAAACTGGCCTTCATATCGGCTGGAGGGAACGGCTATATCGCATCCTTCACCAGTAGGACAGCGACATGCGCGGACAAGACAGGAGCACTGCTCAACACTAGGTGTGATGAATATCACTGAGCTTCAAGAGCATAACAGGTCAACACCTAAGTGTGATGACTATCACTGAACTTGAGCAGGGGCAGAGTGATAATGAATCGCATAGCCGAGTCTGATGGTCACGGTCTGGTCCGGATCGGTTCGGAAACCTTTTCCGCTTCTACGAACCAGGCCCAGAAGACCACAGACGTACCCGAGGTGGGGCAGCGAGGTGGAGGACAGGGACCCGGCTCGGAAGGCCCAGGGGTGACCCGAAGCAGGGTCTGAGTGTACGTCACAACACTTACCTGTCTCCATGGCGCAATAAGGGTTGCATAAGAAGGCGAATGCAGATGAACTGCCACTGGCGGCGGGGTGGAAGCAACAGCGGGCCGCCGGGGCAGGGTGTGTCCGAAGGCCTCCATCTGCGGTTGAGCGGCGGAGAGCTGTTGGGTGCAGCTCTCCACTGAGTTGCCGAACAACCCAACCTGGGAAATTGGGGAGTCCAGGAACCAAACCTTGTCCGCATCCGCCATCTCAATCAGGCTGAGACAACGATGGCGCTCCTGGACCACTAGGGTGGACATCACTAGACCGACCACGCACGCTGTGACACTTGTGCCCCTGAGTGCTCACTCATGAGCGCATGCACTAGACTACCCTTGTGCATGTCCATGAGTGTCTTGGCCTAATAGACCAGCAACAACGCCATGGCATGCAATGAGGCGGCGGCTTGCCCGCAAGCTTTGTAAGCTCTGACGTTCAAACCTGACGCAAGCTCACAGGCCTGCGAGGGGAGACAAGGATCCCCCAGATGCAGCAGCTGTTGGACACAGGTGCGTCGCAATAGACCGCTCCACTGGAGGGATAGCCTCATAACCGCTCCTCCCATAAAGGTAGCGAGGGGGGAAGAACCACTCAGGCAGTTTTCGGCAGTAAAAGGTGCCATCCACGATCTAGTAAGCTCTCCATGCACTTCGGGAAAGAAGGGTACTTTGGCGGCGGGCTGAGAACCAGCACGACCCATCTCGAGATACCAATCATCCAACACAAACGGAAATTTGGGTGTTATGAGAACAGCAGTTGAGACCTCGAAAGCTTGCGATCACAGCTGCACTTGCGCTGTAAACACCAACACTTCCAGAAGAGACTTCCAGAAGAAGCTACGACACACTCGCTCGTTGTATAACAACACTCTTCAGAAGACCTGAACATGAAGCTCGGCTCCGAAGAGAAAGGCAAATGGTGCGTGCATCTACTTCCGTATTTATATCCGCACTGCGGGGCGGAGTGTGAGATGCAGATCTCGCACGCCAATGTGCATTGGCTCGTTCTAAAGATACTCGAAGACGATAGGCTCCCTAGCATGATCCCCATTCAGTCGATGTCGACTACGTCTGACGTTCTCGACTGAAAGGGAACTTTTATTTCTTAGAATTGACTGTTACCTTGCGCAAACTTTAAAAATAAATTAAATAAAATTACACATTAGGATTGGTATTTGATGATTGATTCTTTTAATCTACTAATTTTCTGATCTTATTTTGTAGTTCTGTGACCTCACAAAACAAGAAGTCACATACATGGATCCATTTGGTGAAGCCAATGGAAAGAAAAACGAGATTCTGAAGAATTGGAGGTAGTAGATTAACAAATAATAACCTTTAGATTTTGACAGTATCTCTTTATTTCAAGGCTGTAATCGTTTGGTCCGTTTGGCTGTTCATTTACATGACAACAGCGTTTTGGGAGCCTGAAAACACAAGCTTTTGAAAATGATGCCTTTACGGTCTCATAACAATATTTAATGATGCTTAAAATTCAGCTTTGCATCAAAGGAATTAATTACCTTTTTAATTGTATTACTATAGAAAACAATTATTTTAAATTGTTATAATATTTCACAACATTACCGTTCTTACATAAATGCAGCCTTGATGAGCAGAAGAAACTTAAAAAAATTAAAATGTTATAATGTTTCCGATCTTTTGACAGGCACACATACACACATTCATACACAAAATGCTAAATGTCACTACCCTGACTAAGGTCTATATCGTCTTGAGTTATAGAGATGGGTATAGTGCCTGGGAAGCTCAATGTCTCTCACCCCCCTTTATTTTATTTTTTACTATAAAATCAAAGCCATATATCTTACCAAGTTGTGTTCCAAATTTGAAGTAGATAACACAAAAATTGAAGTTCCCATGAGATTTTGTTAAGGCGTAACATAAAAAAAAAAAGCCACCTGGTGACATACATTCTGTTATGAGGATGAGGAAGGATGAACCCAATAGCAGACAGTAGTCAAGGCAACACGATTTATTAAACAAATAACTGGGAAAACAAAGCCCACGAGGGGGCAAAACATGAACAGCAAACGTACAAAACTAGACTAGGACTGATGAACAACAAGACTAGAACAAACAGTAAACAAAGAATAGGACTTTCTCTCAGGACAAAAACAGTAGGCAAATACTCACAGGGTATAACTATGCTCAACAGAGATACTCACAGAGAATCACACAACATCAAACAATGAACCGACACAGGACAGCATACACAAGGGGATTATAAAGGGAACACTAATGACAAGGACAGGTGAAACTGACTAGACAATGACGAGATGAGGATAACAAGGGGGCGGGGTAACGTAACGAGACAACACAAGCGCATGGTCCAAACAATTGGCCATGCGCTTGTACACAAAACATGATTCTGTCATGATCCTGCCTCACGACTAGGAAAATCAAGGATACTAAGGCAGAATCATGACAGAACCCCCACCTTAAGGAGCGGCTACCAGACGCTCCTCAAGGGGACATTAAACACGGGACATGACAGACTGTGACAAAGACACGAACCAACAAAACATGGAAAACATTAATAATGGCAAACAAGAAAAAACAATAACAGGGCTGGGGTGAAACATCAAATACAACATACAAGGCAAAGGAGGTGGAGGAAACAAAGAGTTCATGGGGGGAGGTCCAGGGTGGATGGGAGGACTGGGGGTCTTGGGTCCACGGGATGAGGGCTGAGGACGAGGACTCTGGGCAGGTTTAGACGGAGACACACGAGGAGAGGTCTTAGGGGAAACAGTCCGGGGCTTAGTGGAGACAGGGAAAACAGTCCGGGAACTAGTGGTGACAGGGACAAACGGGGAAACAGTCCGGGGGCTGGTGGAGACAGGGACGAACGGAGAAACAGTCCGGGAATTAGTGGAGACAGGGGAGACCGGGAGAACAGACTGGGGTACTGCTTCAGTGGTAGCAGCAACAGATTCAGAGACAGAGGGTGAGGAAACGGGACTCCTGACAGGGGACATAGCAGGCGAAGGGGCAGGACTGGGTGCAGCGCTCACAGCGGCAGGCTCGGGTGCAGCGCTCACAGGGACAGGATCGGGAGCTGAGGACAGGGCAGGACAGACAGGGGGTTCAAGAATCGTGACAAGACGAGACAGGTAATCGGAAAGGGTCTTGGCCGCAATGATGACGGGCATCTCCTGACGAGCTGAAACTGATTTCAGGACCTCTTTTGCGGCTAGATCGGCCGCGAGTCTCTCAGATTCTGGGACGGCGCTTGCTGGAGCGGGCTCTAGAGCGGCGCTAGCTGGAGCGGGCTTATGGACGGCGCTTGCTGGAGCGGGCTCATGGACAGCGCTGGCTGGAGCGGGCTCATGGACGGCGCTGGCTGGAGCGGGCTCATGGACGGCGCTTGAAGTAGCGGGCTCATTGACAGCGCTTGAAGTAGCGGGCTCATTGACAGCGCTTGAAGTAGCAGGCTCTGGGGCAGCGCTTGCTGAGGCGGGCTCTGGGACAGCGATCGCGGACTCAGGGGGAGACAGAGACGGAGGACAAGAGGCTCCCTTCCTCCTCTTCTTCCTTCTGGGTCGCGGAGCTGAGTCCGTAGCCAGGCTTGAGACCGGCAAGGGGGGCGAAGAGGGAGACGAAGCAGGTACTGGCGACTCCACCGCAAGCAAGGGGGATTCCGTGGAGGACGACTCAGATGCTGACTCCCACGACAAACATCTTCCACGCTTTCCACGGGGGCTGACGGACACGGGTGGTGGATCGGGACTCAGGGCGGAAGATGCTTGGTCCTCCAGTGTCACGACGGCTAACAGGTGACCCTCAGGTATGACTGGAAGTGTGGCAGGAGGTGAAGATCCAGGTCGACCTGGCTGCTCCTTCCGAGAAAGTAGTCCACCATGTTGCAAAACGGACGGCGGACCAAACTCTCTCGTTCAGCAAGGGGAGGGAGGACTTTGAGACCCGCGACGAGGTAGCGGTTGACCAGGGTCTCCGGCAGGAAGAACCTCCTCTCCTCAATGACCTGGGCATACCTCTTCAGGGTCAACTCACCCTGGGGGGGGAAAGGAAGCTTGCCTTTGGAACTGTCAGCGATAGCGGAGCGCCACCACAGTTCCGGGTCGGAAGGCTGAAGACAAGCAGACAAGGACTGCACGTCTGCTGGGTTCGGTTCTGGTCGGTTCATTCTGTTATGAGGATGAGGAAGGATGAACCCAATAGCAGACAGTAGTCAAGGCAACACGATTTATTAAACAAATAACTGGGAAAACAAAGCCCACGAGGGGGCAAAACATGAACAGCAAACGTACAAAACTAGACTAGGACTGATGAACAACAAGACTAGAACAAACAGTAAACAAAGAATAGGACTTTCTCTCAGGACAAAAACAGTAGGCAAATACTCACAGGGTATAACTATGCTCAACAGAGATGCTCAACAGAGATGCTCAACAGAGATGCTCAACAGAGATGCTCAACAGAGATGCTCAACAGAGATGCTCAACAGAGATGCTCAACAGAGATGCTCAACAGAGATGCTCAACAGAGATGCTCAACAGAGATGCTCAACAGAGATGCTCAACAGAGATGCTCAACAGAGATGCTCAACAGAGATGCTCAACAGAGATGCTCAACAGAGATGCTCAACAGAGATGCTCAACAGAGAATCACACAACATCAAACAATGAACCGACACAGGACAGCATACACAAGGGGATTATAAAGGGAACACTAATGACAAGGACAGGTGAAACTGACTAGACAATGACGAGATGAGGATAACAAGGGGGCGGGGTAACGTAACGAGACAACACAAGCGCATGGTCCAAACAATTGGCCATGCGCTTGTACACAAAACATGATTCTGTCATGATCCTGCCTCACGACTAGGAAAATCAAGGATACTAAGGCAGAATCATGACACATTCCAATCGAATTGTATGCATTCTGCCTTAACAAATTAATACATGTCTGTCCAAATATCACTTCTTTCACAAAATATGGAAACATTGAGACTCAGACCTTTCTGACAATATGTGTTTTGTCAAGATTAGAAAAGTTTTTGATCATAAATTATGAAACATGATGACGCCCAAAAGGGGAGCAGCCCAATAAACTATGGTAACGCAATGTCCAATTTGAAAACGGTTTTCACAGGATGAATTCTGAGTTCGTAAGCTTTCAAATGATACCTAATTTATGATAACTACTAAAATATGAGATGTAATAAAAAAGGTGATATTGTATTATAATATTATGATTTAGAGGATAATATATATATATATATATATATATATATATATTATACTTTTTAGAGGATAATATTATTTTATAATTTTTCATTGACAAATACTAGGTTATGTTTTATTATGAACTTTTAGCATGAAAACCAAAGTTTAAATTATTAAAAATGTGTGCATCGAGTTCTGACAAGGGTCAGAACTCCTGTTATGATGTAGATTTTTTTGAGGTGCACTCTTGTCATAAATGCATAAGTTCCTACATAATTTGTAACAAAAAACAGTGCTAAAATATCTATTTTAGTGAAGTAAACGTAGGCGTCCCGGTACCGGGAAGGTGACAGTTAAGGGGTTAAACTTTTAGGGAGGTCTACGGTCTACTTTCATTTAGTTAGTACTTGATACTTGCTAAAGTGTGTTGTTTTTAAAGTCCTGTTACACAACAAAATTATTAATGGATTTTAGTATAATAGTGAAACATTACCTTAAATGACCAAGCATATGAAAAAACAACAACATACTGTATCAATTCAGAACAAAGACCTAATTTTAAGCTTTTTTTTTCAGTTATTTTGCCAAAGCTAAAGGATGTGCCCTGAAATGGACATGGAATGATGTGCCCCACGACAAGAGGATGGACATTCTTGTGGGGTCCATGTGCTAATGGTATTTTTTTCTAATTTTCTAAAATCGGTCGATGTACTTTTATTTTTATGCATTCTGATAAAGTATTTAAAATGCCCACTTAACTTAATTTATATTTTAGTTTGCTCAGGCCCTGCTTGAGGGAAAAGGTTTCGTGGATGGATATGCCTCCGTGGATATACCCCAGCTGAGGGCACAGTTCTGCAACATTCTGTTTTCCTCTTTAGGTGCTCACTTTCATAAAAACTAAAGCAAAACATACATATTATAAATTTGGGGGGACATTCGGTTCACTTAGTTTGGTCGTGACCATGAGACATTAGATCAAGTCAAGTCACCTTTATTTATATAGCACTTTTTACAATGCAGATTGTGTCAAAGCAGCTTTACATTGATAGAGGGAACATAATTTTGGCTGTAATTGTTTTGTAGCTCTAGAAGAAAATAGTTCTTAATTCAGTTAATTTATCTATCAGCTCTGGAGAAACAGTGACGTCAACGTCCAGCTCAGTTCAGTTCTTAATCAATGGTGTCAATGAAGGCAGATTAATAATATTATTGAATATTAAATGTCTCCAACTAAGCAAGCCAGAGGTGAGAAGCGACAGCGGCAATGGCTAATTAATTAATAATAATGAGTGAGAATGTGATATGTCATGACCACAAGATATTTTTGTTGAAGTAACAACATCCTTATTCCTTATGTTCTGGCCATGCAATGTGAAATTGTGGCCTCAAGATCCTTTGTTGAGAGAAAGACATATTTGTATATGTTCAACGTGAAGCAGCGCTGCACAGACCGATCGGTTTTGGATCATTGCTTCTCCTCTTCCTTGCCACCTCGTGACAATAAGAATGTCACTACCTCAACAAAATTATCTCATGGACAAATTAATATCTCATGGCCAAGGCAAAACTACTCATTTGATTATTAATATATGATTTTCTTTTTCCTGCAGATAGAGGAGTAAAGTGCACAGTGTGCTGGAGTGTCCTGATGTCCTGACTTTTAGGTGTGCTGTCAGGAATGTGGTGCACACAGCCATTTGAGATGTCAGCGAAAACCATGTGGCTTCTGTGTAATTTGTAAGTAATTTCAATTCCAAGAACAAACAGCTATTCAACACACTGTATAAAATGTGCAGGCTAAAAGATCAAGTTTTGGAAACTGCGGTGAAACTCCCACAAAAATCAAAACAAGTATCTAATGTTACATACTATATTTCAAAGCAAATTTAAGGATATTTTTAAAATTGAATGGGCAGTTTGAATAAGGGTATGTTTATATGCATGTTATGCAGTGCTGTACAGTTTGTTTCTGGAACAGTCTTTTCAATAGTCTAATAGTGCTTTGACTACTGAAGGTATTTGACCTCTGGTGACGCACTTTTTTCATTACCAATTTTGTGTGCATGCTATCTTTTTACATCAGCTCTTGTCTTAGCAACAAAAAAAAATACAACTATGCATTTCGACAAATCTCAGAAAGTTACAAGTGTATGTTTTGCTGAAGTAAGAGGGAATGTTATTAGTTAATAATCAGTTTTGTGTTGGTCTTCCTTATAATGTATGACTTCAGAACTGTTGGTAGAGTCCACAAATTGTAGATGTATAGAGGATAATGTATCCCAGTACAAGTTTAGTTGTACACCCATTTTAATGTTTTCTATAGATGTAATAATTATTCCTCCTGAGATTAAAATGGCATTGCTGTTTATACTGATGCTTCAAATAGCAGGTGAAGGAAACACTATGTTTAAACATCTACAAAAAGGATAAAGTAAGCAGACAGAGGAAAGCACAAGAAGACCTCCAGATGATGAGAAGAAACAAGAGGAAGAAGAGAAAAGGGAAACTCACAAAACAGAAAAAGTGGAAGTAAAAAAAAAAAAATCAAAGTGTAAAAAAAGAAAGGCAAGTGATGCACCAGATAGGGGGGAAAAGCAAGACAGCGAGGGAGAAAGACAGCCACAAACCTTTGACAGTGGCAAGGATGCAGGTTTTGAAAATTAGGAAATAGAGGCAAGAGACAGCGGAGATTGTCCTTTGAATAACCCCACAGACGACATTAAAGACATCAAAGTTTTTGGACGCTTAGTCCTCACTGGTCAGAGAAAGTCCCCGTATGTTGTCACAAAAGAAGAAATTCAGCGCAGAATAGAAGGGGAGAATATGTCCTCTAATGTTTTCAGAGATCTGCTAGGAGTAAGTTGATTTTTAAATTGATAAGGTCGATATATTAAGTTATCAGTTATGTTTTATATTTGTTTTCATCTCTCTATTAATTTTATTTTAGTTCTAAAGCACTTCTGTTCATTTTTCTTAAGGGCCGCAAAAAAAATCTCCCTGAATTAGTCCTCAATCTTCCCAAGAAAATGAAAACTAAGACAAGCATTTTTAGTGCACTAACAGAGGGCGAGGCTTCAGACCTTGCCACTGGTTTAACTAAAAGCCTGTGTCAAAATGTCAGTCCAAAGTTGGTACGTAAAGACATAAGTGACCACAATGCAGAAGTGACCAGGTACAGTATATTTTCTTAATGCACAGCTACTGTATGTTTGTTTATGATATTTGATGTAATTTTATTAACTGTTTCACCTTTTTCTTTTCATTAAAGGACAACTCTGGCTAGTGTACGTGCCAACTTGCAATCAAGCCTGGATTCTAGATCAGCTTTCAGTTTATTAACCCACACATTTGGTCCACAAGCAGTGGATGGAGTGTTAGGCTTCATCTCAGAGAGTCTAAAATGAAAGCAGAACAAATACATTTCAAATGCAGCACTAAGGTTGTTAAATCTGACAATAACCTTTTATGTTTGACGTTTTGTTTATAACTGAGAACTAATTGAATCAGTAGGGGTCTTTTAATTCTGTAAAATACCCTTATATTTGTGTTGTATTAATAATTTTGTTATATCAATATGCTCAGTGTAAAGTTTCTTACATCTTTAATATGTGGATATTAAAAAAATTGTATTGGATGAATGACGTTTAATTCCTTATGAACAGAAACATACCATATGTCATCTAGCCACATTGCAATGGTACTGTAACTGTAATTAATAATAGATCTAAAATATTAAATTTACATTGACAGAATTACTTTTTAGCACACAAAATACATTACATTGAAAACAGCTTTGCAAATTCTTCCGAAAACAGTATTGTTTAGAAATGAACATTGACACAAAAAAATTGGCCACACTAAAATCAGCTCTTCATTTGATACCCAAATTTCATACAAGGTATTCTGCACCCAATTCTGTATTCACGTTTTCTTTAATATTCTTACTTTTTTGGGGGGGTTGTCTTTCTTCTTTTAAACCCTTCTGAATTTGTGTCAGAAGTTTTCTTGGAAACCTTGGAAGTCTTTTTTCTATTTTTTGCATTGCATGGGAAGAGTGGCTGTATCTTCCTTGAAGTGTCAATGGTGCAATGCCTTTTTGACAAAAGACTTCTGTCTTCTTGTTGCACGTTAACATAGAGATCATTTATTTGGCTTTTGATGCTCTCTGGGACAGTCTGCCATCTTTTGACAATTTCAAGAACATCTTCTAGTCTCCGGAAGTCTTGTGAACTTGTGTCTTGTTTCTCAAAATACACATCAGCATTGTCTGATTGATTCACAGAACAGCACTTTTTTTCATTAATGGTCATGCCAAACAACTGTTGTGCTAAAATAAGGCAGGGACATATGCCATGATATGAGAATGTGCAACAGGTACAAGAATGTGTTTCCAAATCTGTATATGTTCCTCTCCCAAAAAAGCTTTCCACGTCGATTTCCATCTTCACCTCAGAACAGATACTGAAGTGACCTTTGTCTTGTACAGCTCTTGCATGAGCTTCCAGCTGAAGAGTAAGTTCAGAGAATGCATCATCCTTATCTTTGAGTATATCTAGCAACACCAAATGTTTGCATACTTCACCTTTCAAACCCACAGGGCAACTGCAGAAACACTCTGCTGGGCAGGTTCTATAGGAAAGTGAGGAGTCTTGTTCGGATGGCACATTATACACATATATTTCTGATGATTCTCTTGTAATGTGGTCAATCCAGCCTTTTTCCATCATTCTAGTTGCTTTGTTAAATGTTTCCTCTAACTTCATGGCAACACAGTTTGCCATTCTTCCTGCTGATTGCAAGTGTTTTATCACCTGAAAGTAAGTCTCTGTCTTGCAAAGAAGGACGTCAAGCAAGTCATCCAAACGCCGATTTCTTATCCCAGATAAGAATTGGTATTTCAGTCGATGGAAGAACCTGAATAAAGGAAAAACAATTTATAGTGCCAAAACAAGTTCATTATATGTGGAAAAGTTGCAACGACAGTCAATTATTTCTGCTTTACAGCCTTTAATACCAAAATAAATTTACTAGGGTCTTATTTTACCTTTCTATCAAATTGTTGGTCTCTGAATTCCCATGGTTATAACAACGTCCATAATCCGCCCATCTATGACTTATTGGTTCCCAGTACCTCTGGAAGTAATTGCAAAGCTCTTCGTAGTGAGAAAATTCCTTTAGGAATTTTTTAGACACTCTGTCAAAGTCAGCCTTCTGCAATTAACAAAAATAGGTATTGTGAGTCTGCAAGCAAAAAAGGTAACAACATAAAAGCTTAGTAATATCCATGATTAAATATTGTATAATATCTATAGTATTTTGTAATTTGGAAAGTGAATGGAAAAGTACACAATATATAATGAAAAAAGCCTCATGGTCAAAAATGTTAAGGTGCAAATGGTAATACAATTCAAACATTTCTGACTTAAAGGGATAATTCACCGAAAAATGAAAATGATGACATCATTTACTCACCCTCATGTTGTTCCAAACCTGTATGAGTTTCTTTCTTCTGTTGAACACAAAATAAAATATTTTGAAGAATGTTGGTAACCAGACAGTTGACGGCACCCATTGACTTTGGCATTTTCTTTTTTTCTACTATGGAAGTCAATAGGGTCCATCAATTGTTTAATTACCAACATTCTTCAAGATATCTTTTTTTTGTGTTCAACAGAAGAAAGAAACTCAAACAGGTTTGGAACAACATGAGGGTAAGTACATGATAACAAAAAAAAAAATTGGGGGTGAAAAAATGACAACCCTTTAAAAATGGGTTGTCATGGTATACATTATGTACATATTATAACTGCATAATACAACCATTAAAATTTAAAATTCAAATACCATAGGACAAGCTTTCATTTTTTTGAAGTAATCAATAATTTCTTTCCGGATACTTGAACGCTGTGGCCCACTAACACTGGAATCTGACTTCATCAACCACCGAACAATGGCCTGTGAACCAGGACATATGTAATGGATTATGCAAGTATCATTAAAATTATGAATAAATAAATTTAAGGGGGAAAAAACTTCTTACTTGGAGTACATGGTACCAGCAAAGAAGAACATCCGACTCAGGGAAAACGTCATTCAAAGCATTTATTTCACTCATGTCTTTGTCAACCATGAAGCACCTTTAAAGAAAAAGAAAAGTAGGTTAACTTATTCAACCAGCAGTGGACCCCCCAATAGATCAATTCCTTAATAAATTACCTTGGTGGCTTAGGGAACAAAGGTCTTAGCCTCCGAAGTGCAAGCTTAAGGGTTTCTTGTGTCTCACTGCTTGTTATTATGTATGCAACAGGAACTCCATGACCATGGTCATCTCTCACAAGCAATGTAAAAAGTGGAAAGGAATATTGATTCACACAATGCGAGGCATCAAAAAACACAATGTTACTCCCATGGTCCTGTAAGTCTTTTCTCATGCACTCCGTTTGGAGAACGATTATAAGGTCCTGATCCTTACCCAGTGGCTGATAAAATACAACATTATCTTTTAAAGGACCAGCTAATAGTTTCTCTGTACTCTTATAATCATCTTTATCAAGATGTTTCCCTCGAAGCATACAGGTACGGATATTATGTATGTCTTCTGGTGTAACAAAATATTCTCTGGAATGATAATTAACTTCTCCATGAGCTTTTGACCACTCATGAGCTTGAAGGAGGATGACATCTGGTTTTACGCCTAATGTGATCCACTTCTTGATCTCATCCACCAGATGAGGGTGAATCTGCTGAAAATGACCATCTTCTACAGAAACATCATGACCATTGTGCTGGTCAAATATTCTCTGCACAACAACTTTGTGCCCTTTCCAATCATTTCTTACTTTAAAAGAGATGTATGCTTTACACCCGACAGCTCTGTGACTTCTTTCATATACATTTCCAGATCTTCTGCAATGAAAAATAAAATATCCTCTTCTTTTATCTTTTAAACTGGAACAATTTGTGGTCCTGAATGATTTTGTGTGCTCTTTGTTAATTATTTCTGTGATAAAGTTCTCTTCTTGATCATCTGGTTTAAGAACATGCACCTTGAGTTTAATGTTTTTATGTCTTATTTTTCTTCTTTCTTCATTTTCCACAGACTTTTTGATAAACTCCTCCATCATGGAACATTTCTGAAATGTATACACACAAAAATGATACTTAGTTAATTCATTTCCACATAATGTTTTTGTTCTGGTTATTTTAAAACACATCAGCATCACCAAACACATATACTAACTTTAAAGAGGAAACAATAACAAAGAGCTGATAAGTTGAAATATTATATTTTAAAACATCTATCAGCTCTCCACATGAACTATGCAAAGGAGTTAGTGAATTCATTGGTTCTGAATCAATGATGGTCCTGGATCAACATTAGTAAATCAACCTCGCATTGAAGTGACCATGATGGTCCAGGATCAACATTAGCCAGTGGCGGTTCTAGCCCATTTCAACTGGGGGGGCCAAGCTGGGGCCAGTTGTACTGTTAGAGGGGCCAGTTACATTTAGACCTTATTGTTGTCATATCATTTTCTGCACTGCTGCAGGCATTAACAGGCAAAATACCGTGTTTATAATCATTCAACAATGTATTTGCATTTCCATTAAATTTTTACATTTGCATTACATATTCAGTATTAGTCACAGTAACTGTAATAGACATGATGTCCTTCTTTCTCTTCATTTTGAGAACTATAGAGCAAAAGCAATGGGGACCAAAAAGCTTATTAATTAATTTACTGAAAATAACTGACTTGATATGTCTAACCGTTTACAGGGTTCCTGTACACTTTTTAAAGTCCAATTTAAGGCTTTTTAAGACCTAAAGAAATCAAAATTAATACCGTACATTAGGGGTGTGCAATATTGACAAAAATATATTTCAATATTTTCAACATTTTGTTAATAATTAGATAATATTTTACTGATTGTGTTTTTGTGCTGGTGCCATGGCTGGTTTAGGCCTGTTGTTGACAGCTGACTCACGAAGATATTCATATTTTTCATATTCTATGCAGTGGTCAGTTCACAGCAGTGACAGAAATACATTTTTTAATTAAGGGGCAATATTTGCCACCTTAAATTGATTTCCAGGGGCATTTTCACCTATATATGGACATTTTTTCTAAACTTATTTAGAGTTATGCATCACCTTTTATGTCAAATACTAACATTCAAATTATACAGTAATTATACTTATTTATACAATAATACTTAATTATACAATAATTATACAGTACCACTGTTACCAGTCAAATTAATTAATTCAATCAAAATCCATCTTTGCAGTGCAGAGGTGACACAGAAGTGGCATTAATATATTTACACTCCATTTACAATTGCATAAATAAAGCTATGAGATTTTTTTCAAATCAATATTTAAATATGAAATTATTTCTAATTTTAACGTTTTAATTAAAGGATACTTTAAATATGAAACTAAAACCGCCAGTAGGCGGCGGCAAGTCCCTGTAAGAGGGATTCATTCATTCAACCGATTTGTTCAAACGGCTGATTCATTCGGGAAAGAAGCAAGTGATTCGTTCAAAACGCGGATTTCAGTCAATAAATCATCGCTGTGTTGCATTGAGACTCACTACGGTTTCATTATGAAATTCTAGTCGGCGAAATAAAGGGAAAACAAACAATATTGACAATATTGTGTCTAAAAAGTAACTCCCAATGTTAACTTATTGTTAATTTAACTGTTGTATAACATAAATATCACAGTTGCAATTGTGCACGGGAAAACGGCACTCTTGCTGATGTGATATTCTAATATAAGAACATAATATGATATAAATATAAGACAAAAACTAATTTGGGGACATAGCCTACCTATGAACTGCACACAGCAGTGAAAGGACGATAGACAAATGCTATGTCAGCTCACAGTGCCTCGTACATACCTTACAACTTCAAATAATAGCCGAGTCCCGAATAGACGCCTGTCTCTTTTACACGCCTGGTGTGGCTGCAGGTTTGGGTAAATAAAGGCCGGTCTCAAATAGAAGCCGGGTCTGTTTTTTAGTTTCGGGTTGTATTTTATCTTCTAAAACCCGTCAGAGCGTCCGCTTGCTGCGCTTGACAGTGCATAACGAGCAGAGAGAGAGAGAGAGAGAGAGAGAGAGAGAGCGCCCCGGCCGCGCGCGCGCACTCACGTCTTCAAACAACACGAGCGCTGTCTTGCTCTCTCTCCCTCGCGCATATTAATCAAAATCAATTGACACGATAGTAAAAGGTTGGAAGACCGCAGTTTCACGTGGAGCATTTGGAGATTTTTAGAGATTAGAGACTCTAGGAACAACATCTCAATGAACAACATCTCAACACTAAATTATAAAGGCCTGTCTCATATAGACGCCTGTCTCAAAGTTCGACGATTTGGGAAAATAAAAGCCCGGGCTATTATTTAAAGTTTTATGGTAGTTAAAACAATGATTACAATATCATAATAGACAATACACATCGCACACCCCATACGCACATAAAGAATGAACTTACAACTGAACTGACATTTACCAACTTTCTTCTCTCCTCTCTCGCGTGCAGGAGACAGGCGTTATTCTGCCGCGATTCCCGCGAATGTGATGCGAATTGTCACGTGAAAATGCAAATCCACAAAGATAGAAAAATAAAAAATAATACGCATACAACGATAGCAAAAAACAGTTTTGTAAAAATTATTTCAAACTCCACATTTAGGGGGGCCACAAGGGGGGCCAAGCTTTTTGTCACAGGGGCACTGGCCCCCCTGGCCCCCCCTCTAGAACCGCCACTGACATTAGCGAATCTACCCCGTATTGAACTGATCATGATGGTCCTGGATCAACATTAGTGAATCTACCCCGTATTGAACTGATCATGATGGTCCTGGATCAACATTAGCGAATCTACCCCGTATTGAAATGATCATGATGGTCCTGGATCAACATTATCGAATCTACCCCGTATTGAAATGATCATGATGGTCCAGGATCAACATTAGCGAATCTACCCCGTATTGAACTGACCATGATGGTCCTGGATCAACATTATCGAATCTACCCCGTATTGAAATGATCATGATGGTCCTGGATCAACATTACCGAATCTACCCCATATTGAAGTGATCATGATGGTCCTGGATCAACATTAGCGAATCTACCCTGTATTGAAATGATCATGATGGTCCTGGATCAACATTAGCGAATCTACCCCGTATTGAAATGATCATGATGGTCCAGGATCAACATTAGCGAATCTACCCCGTATTGAAATGATCATGATGGTCCTGGATCAACATTACCGAATCTACCCCGCATTGAACTGATCATGATGGTCCTGGATCAACATTAGCGAATCTACCCCGTATTGAAATGATCATGATGGTCCTGGATCAACATTAGCGAATCTACCCTGTATTGAAATGATCATGATGGTCCTGGATCAACAATCTACCTCGTATTGAAATGATCATGATGGTCCTGGATCAACATTAGCGAATCTACCCCGTATTGAAATGATCATGATGGTCCAGGATCAACATTAGCGAATCTACCCCGTATTGAAATGATCATGATGGTCCTGGATCAACATTAGCGAATTTACCCTGTATTGAAATGATGGCATAGCAATTATCAAAATTTTGATTACAATCATATTCAAAAAGCAATTATTCTACTGTTTTTTTTATGTCATATACTTTGTGCACACTTTATTCTGACTAAAATCACAGTAGTCTGTTTTAAAGACCTGGAATTTATTGACATTGTTATAAAATTTTATTAAATATTAAATGTGTATTTGTGTATGAGAGAAAGAAGACTTTTAGAGGTTATGGAGTAAAGTAAGCTTAGCTATTAGCTAAACGGCACATGGCTGTTGTACACTCACCGGCCACTTTATTAGGTACACCTGTCCAACTGCTCGTTAACACTTAATTTCTAAGCAGCCAATCACATGGCGGCAACTCAGTGCATTTAGGCATGTAGACATGGTCAAGACAATCTCCTGCAGTTCAAACCGAGCATCAGTATGGGGAAGAAAGTTGATTTGAGTGACTTTGAACGTGGCATGATTGTTGGTGCCAGAAGGGCTGGTCTGAGTATTTCAGAAACTGCTAATCTACTGGGATTTTCACGCACAACCATCTCTGGGGTTTACAGAGAATGGTCCGAAAAAGAAAAAACATCCAGTGAGCGGCAGTTCTGTGGGCGGAAATGCCTTGTTGATGCCAGAGGTCAGAGGAGAATGGCCAGACTGGTTCGAGCTGATAGAAGGGCAACAGTGACTGAAATAACCACTCGTTACAACCGAGGTATGCAGCAAAGCATTTGTGAAGCCACAACACGCACAACCTTGAGGCGGATGGGCTACAACAGCAGAAGACTCCACCGGGTACCACTCATCTCCACTACAAATAGGAAAAAGAGGCTACAATTTGCAAGAGCTCACCAAAATTGAACAGTTGAAGACTGGAAAAATGTTGCCTGGTCTGATGAGTCTCGATTTCTGTTGAGACATTCAGATGTTAGAGTCAGAATTTGGCGTAAACAGAATGAGAACATGGAACCATCATGCCTTGTTACCACTGTGCAGGCTGGTGGTGGTGGTGTAATGGTGTGGGGGATGTTTTCCTGGCACACTTTAGGCCCCTTAGTGCCAATTGGGCATCGTTTAAATGCCACGGCCTACCTGAGCATTGTTTCTGACCATGTCCATCCCTTTATGGCCACCATGTACCCATCCTCTGATGGCTACTTCCACCATGTCACAAAGCTCTAATCATTTCAAATTGGTTTCTTGAACATGACAATGAGTTCACTGTACTAAAATGGCCTCCACAGTCACCAGATCTCAACCCAATAGAGCATCTTTGGGATGTGGTGGAACGGGAGATTCGCATCATGGATGTGCAGCCGACAAATCTGCGGCAACTGTGTGATGCCATCATGTCAATATGGACCAAACTCCCTGAGGAATGCTTCCAGCACCTTGTTGAATCTATGCCACGAAGAATTGAGGCAGTTCTGAAGGCAAAAGGGGGTCCAACCCGTTACTAGCATGGGGTACCTAATAAAGTGGCCGGTGAGTG